CCGGACTCGGCTGTTTTTAGCCGTTTTAAATTACTCTCAAGCTGCCAGACATTGTTCTCGGAGCTGAATAGTGCTGGGCTGTGGCCTCGGCAGGAAAAGGTTCGCCTCCTGTTCCGCCTCGGATCAAACAAGTGCCAGGATGTCCACAAGAACCAGAAGAGCCACAAAAAAAATCTTTTTCTCCCCTCCCTCCACCTCCTCGGGCTCCTGCTGATAAACTGGTGATCTAAAGGAGGGACTAATTAAAAATTGCAGGGAAGTGATAGTGTTCTTCACCCGCTGACATCTGGCTCTCTTTGTTAGGGACTCTACCGAAGAGAAACCAGTTTATTTGATCTATAATACAGGGTCAAGTCCAGCCAACCTCCCGTCCGAGGTCACTCAAGGCTGGCAGAGACTACGATGGATGTTTTCTTGCTGATTTGAGACCTCAGGATTCTTTCAGATGTGTGTTTTTCAGCAAGGAGGTCCTCCAGCAAAGACAAATGATTTCATCCTTTCTGTGGATGACAGCAGGAATCCCCAAATCTATGATGTCAAGCAGAGCTTGCCCGCGATGATCAGATCTGAAAGTGGTGCACCTCTAGTATGTGAGAAGTTGGGAGAGGAAGACTCTGTTTTCTTCAAAAACTTCTACCTTCTTGGTGGGAATGTCAATGTTTCTGTACAGAACTGGATCCTGAGTTTTAATATGCCCCAAACCAATGATGTGCTGTTTTCCAGAGGTTTTGGCGCATGGATTTGTAATTTCTTTCTACCTCGAATGGTCTCACACAGCAAGCCAGAGCGACGAAACCTGAAGCGCGGGTGCTTACCATATGCTCTTGCACAGCATCTGCACCATCTCCAGCGTCAGATTTCAGTCTAACAATGCAAATGTTTGGGGTGGGTGGGTGAGATGTCAGCAAACGCAGGGCTTGGACCCGACCTGTTTGTTCCCAGGGCATCGCAGTATTAATTGGGAGTAGTGCAGTGAAAAGGAAAACTGGTTGCGTTCACTTTGCCATCTGTTGGCCAGCCGTATGGCATTATCTGTGGGGAGGATTTGCCTGCATTTTGGAACATTATTCCATTTCTGGTGCTGTGCCTCAGCCAGCCAGAGAGTTAATATTACACGTAATCCGTTATCACACCTGCCTGCCTCCCTGTGTTACCGTCGAGGTGGGAAGGAGCTGCCACAAGTCACCTTGGTTTCTGTTGGCTGCATGGAGGTGATTGACGTTATTCCTCTCCTGTGTTAAAATTGCTCAGGCACTGATTTATAAAAATACCTGTGTTGCAACCCGACAGCGCCGCATTCCTCGCTCCTTAAGGACAGGCTGGCTGGCAAACTCTTTCACCCGTGGTTCCAGGCAGGAGCCATCTTCATACAAACTGCTGAGGACTCTGTTCGCTGTGAGCTCGCTCTGCCCAAGCCCTCCCTGAAAGGTGTTTGCAGGGAGAAGTCCTTCTCTTCTTGAGGCTGACAAACCTTTTCTTTTCCCCAGAGGTCGGGATTTCCCCCAGCTTGGATCGTTCCCCTTGTTCTCCTCTTGATCCTCACTCTTTGGGCCACCTTTCTTTGAGGCTCAACACCTAAACCTGGTCCAAAACTCCAGCATGGGCTTGGCTATGATTAAGCAACGCTGGTATTGGTAGTCCGGGCTGCCTTCCTGTTTACACACCTTGGTACAGAATCTGCCTTATTCATAGTGCAGGGCATTTGACTCATGCTTCTGACCGCCCATAACTTCCTGCTCCTGGTCCTTAATCTACCATTTCCCACCAGTATTAGTGCATTAATTACTCTCATCTAGGTTAATTCTTTGCAGCCCCTCGTTGCCCAGACCTTCTCTCAGTTCTTAACGATGTTGCTATGAATTTCAGCCTGGTGCTTTTCCATGTTCCCAGACCTTCTCCACCCAAGTGGGACCTGCAGATTTTCTCTGTTCCTACATCTGTGTCACTAACCCACCACTTATGGTCTTGGACCTACAGTAGACCCCTGGGGAATCCAGCCGTTCAGCTGGACAGTTGGATGTCTAAATAAGCAGGTTCAAACTCAGCCATGTTGCTTAAGCTTCTTTATAAAGTCAGGAGAAAGCCCTCAAACTTTCCCTCTCTCTCTTAGATCGCCATAGCTACTACTGTACTGTTACTAAATATTTCCTAAAAAACCAGCAGATGCTGCTTTTTCTTCCTGATTTTGGAGAAGCACCTGAAAATATGACTTAAGCACGTCCAGGGCAGCTGACACGTGAAACACGAAAGGCAGGTTTAACAGAGGAAAAACTAGAGTGACATCCATTTTAGTGACAACACTGAAGTGCAGAGCAATGAGAGATATAAATACAGAATTTCGGTTCTTTGCCACTTGGTTGCTCAGTTGGACAGAGCAGCAGGATTTAGCCCAAGCAAAAGGTCAACTAGAAACTGCACTTCTCCTTTCTGGCCACAGGATGTACCCATCACACCACAAACAGCCTGGCCGGACACAAAAGCAGGTGTTTCAAGTTTCCTTATTGCCCCAAAACATGTCCTTACCTCTCTCCAGGCCCCCTAAGACACCCACACAGGGGTAGATCAGGGCTACGTCCCGTGGGGCAGAGGAGGGTGAATGGAATGGGGTTGGTGTAGTCCAGAGGCTTCCCTTTTCCTCTTGTTGGATGAAGGTGATACGTTGCTGTGGAAAAAAAAAAATAATAAGAGCCAGCTGGTCAAGAGGTGGTGGCAGCTTTTGATCAATGTGAATTATAATGGGCATTTAGTAGTTGGGATTAATTTTACTATTTAAATGTGAGATATCAGTGCTACTTTCAGTGGCGAATGTGAAGGATTTCTTTTTCGTACTAATTGCCAGGATGTCTTGACCATTTGTCACTTGTGTATCGTCCTAAGCAGAACCAAGGGGCTCTTCAGAACCAGAGCTGGGATCTGCAAGAGCCAGTCATCAGGGCAGGGATTTGTAAAAGAGATATTGGGGCTGGTATGAATGGAAATCTCTTTCTGTAAGCGTCAGAAGAAATAGCAGAGCAGGGGGCTTAAAAACAGCTTGTATTCATAACGCGAGACATCATCCCCAGCCAAAAAAAAAAATGAGACTGTGTTGTTTCTGTCAAGCCCAGAGTGTCTGCACACCGATAAGACCATAGCACACACAACTCACCCGTGAAAGACCCTCCTCTCTGATAACAGGAGGATGGCAGCGTATCACATCTCCCATTCCTTCTCCTGGCAGCCAAGCAGGAGGAGAGGCTGCAGCAAAGGACCACCATAAAAAAAAAACCTATCCATTCTTAAAGATTATTACAGAACTGTGCCAGAACTGGGAGGTTTAGTGAAGATGTGACAGCTGTCATTCCTGGTTGTCTACGTTGCATACAAGTGGCTGGGGCCAGACCACTTGAACAACCATGTCTCATTGTCAGCATGAGTGAATGAAATCTGCAAGAGGAGGAGTGCAGGAGGGTAAGATCTGTTTGTGTTGCTTTAGCTGATGTAAATAAATAGAATCACAGAATGGTTTGGGTTGGAAAAAAACGTAAAGATTATCCAGTTCCAACCCCCTGCCCTGGGCAGGGACACCTCCCACCAGACCAGGTTGCTCCAAGCCCCATCCAACCTGCCCTTGAACCCCTCCAGGGATGGGGCAGCCACAGCTTCTCTGGGCAATCTGGACCACGGTCTCGCCACCCTCACACCAAAGAAGTTCTTCCTGAGATCTCATCTAAATCTCCCCTCTTTCAGTTTAAAACCCTTCCCCCTCATCCTATGACTCCCCTCCCTGATCCAGAGTCCCTCCCCAGCTTTCCTGGAGCCCCTTTAGGGACTGGAAGGTCTCCCTGGAGCCTTCTCTTCTCCAGGCTGAACCCCCCCAACTATCTCACCCTGTCCTCACAGCAGAGGGGGAATCTCTGTGGCCTCCTCTGGTCCCATTCCAACAGGTCCATGTCCTTCTGTTGTTGGTAGCCCCAGAGCTGGAGGCAGCACTGGGGGGGGGTGTGTCTCCCCAGAGCAGAGCAGAGGGACAGATTCCCCCCCCTCACCCTGCTGGCTATAGTCTCCTTCCATAAGATCCATACTGAGTTTGGCCTCTCTGGTTCCCTACCTCAGGAAGAAGGGCGCTGCTATAATGACAAAGCCCTGTACCTTCAGGATGCTCAGTGAGTCAAATTACTTGAGCTGATTAAGGATGCAGTACCAGGGAAGTTCAGTCTTAACGATTTGGCTGCTCTTGACTGGAATCTACTCAGTTTACAAGGCTTGAGTTGTGAATGTTTGAAGGCCTCCCTCAAACTCCAGTAGCTGTAGGCATCACCATCTAATTATACTCTAGCACACCACAGAGGAAGAGAATCCAGATCTGCCTGATTGTGTACATGTTTTGGTGACACAGTAATTACAGTCATTTACATCACACTGCTGATCACTATCCTGCGGAGAGGGTGAAGTCCTGTTACCCAAGCCTGCGGAGTGGCTTTGCATTGTATCCTGGGATTCAGAGCCAGTTTGCAATTTGTCCGGTCCCTGGCACATATTTTGGCAAACTCAACCCTTAGGATCACAAGGACAGTGTTCAAAATGTGGAAATAAATTCCAGCTGCTACCCTGCTTGCCCAGTTCAAAACCACAGGTATCTTCCATAGCGTGATGGCTCCACTCTGGCATCCAAGACGTGCGACCAGCAAGTTGGCTGTGAGCTCGCCGAGCTATTTTCATGCACATCACAGCTTATGGAACTCCTGAGAGGTATACAGCGTACTTTTACATTTGTTTTAAACATTTGTAATGGGGAGAGAGCAGAGATCTGATTTTCAACAAGCTGACATCAATCTACATGCTTTAAAGATGACCTGCTGGCACAGCCAAACCATACAACCTCTTTGACTCAAACCATTCCTTTCACAGCAAAACAAAATGGTGTTGTCTTGGCGTTTAACTAACTCACAAAGCACTTCTCTATAATTATACCTATCAATCAGACAAACTGAGGACTAAAGGAGAAAAAAAAATAATAATAAAAGAAAGGAGTAATCTGCTCCTTGGCCATAATTGGATTTCCTCTGCAAATATTAAGTTTCAACAAATATTAAGTACAACAATACAACAATAACAATTAAGTTACAAAAATAGATTTATTTTTAAACGCTTTTCTTCATGTGCACTTCAGAGAAATGTGTGTCACCTACCTAGAGCTTTTTAGAAAGAAAAACCGGAGAGCATTTTCCCAAAAAACTGGGAAGAAATTGGCCAGATTGGTAGGTGGTGGTAGAAAACCAAAGTCATTGAAGTTTGATTAAACTTCTTCCAACTTTTATCTCTTTGTTGAAACACCATAAGAAGCTTTATATATTTATCTGTAACGATGCATAGCAAGCTGTAATGATGTCTGGCTTGAGCCAGTTCTCATGAAAGACAAGCAATTGTTCCCCATTTTTCCAAGGGTCTCATAAAGTTTCACGTGTTTCAAGTTTCACTTACCTCAGAAGACTTTGGAAAACCTGCTTGTTTTAGGCAGCAGCCATCTCTGTCACCTGACATCTGCTGACCAGAGGCTAAGGTTCAAGAGGACTTCTCCATTAGCTGGCTGGTCTAGCCTTCCTCCAGGTATCTCCTCGGGGTTTCAGCTAGGAAGCCAGAGGACAAAGACACAACCATGGGGTCAGATAGGCTTCTTGGAAACTAACACGTTGATGGTTTTGCAAAATGTATGTACCAAGACACAATACCAGTCATAATTTCTAAGTTTGTACATGGGCAAGTCCTTCAAATTATACTTCTGGTGCTTGCAATTCTTGCATCCTTGTTTACTAGTTCTGGGATCAGAATTTAATGTTTGAAATTAACTAAAATCATAGAACCATAGAATAGTTTGGGCTAGAAGGAATCTTAAAGATCATCAAGTTCCCACCCCCTGCCCTGGGCAGGGACACCTCCCACCACACCAGGTTGCTCCAAGCCCCCTCCAACCTGGCCTTGAACCCCTCCAGGGATGGGGCAGTCACAGCTTCTCTGGGCAACCTGGGCCAGGCTCTCACCACCCTCACACCAAAGAATTTCTTCCTGAGATCTCATCTAAATTTTCCCTCTTTTTAAAGAGTTTAAAACCATTTAAGAGTTTAAACTTAAGAGTTCAAAGTTTAAAACCCTTCCCCCTCATCCTATGGCTCCCCTCCCTGAACAAGAGTCCCTCCCCAGCTTTCCTGGACTCCCTTTAGGGACTGAAAGGTCCCCTTTAGGCACTGGACACAAACTACACCTACACAGATGTTTTTCAGGATTTGAGATACTGTGTTGTGCATCTCAGGATAAAATCTACCCGATGGAGGTGTATGAGCTTTTAATGGAAAAGCTGTATCAAAACCACTTTGACAGCAAACCCAAGCCCTCAGTTCTGGACCCAGCCCATCGCTCAGACCTACCGCGTGTGTCAAACGTGGAATTGCCCTGAACTTACCAGCCCAGTTGCCTACTGCAAAGGAGTTGCTGGAAGATTTCTCCCACTCCACAAATCCTCCCCTCTGGGCACAGTTTGTTTGGTTGGCAGAACAGGCAGCAGGTCTGTCTGCCAGACCTTCTACTCTGCTATGGCACACATTGATAAAAAACACCTCCTAACATGGGCTTTCCCAAAGCCCCTGCAGAGCCCACTGCCCACATGGAGGGCTTGGAGAAGGGCTACGCTGCCCTAGGCTTGCCCTGGGCTCCAGGGGAAGGGGTGAGATGGAAAAACCTGTCAATAATCAGTGACACCAGCATAGGGCACAGGTCTGGGACGGTGGACTCAAATACCAAGTCCCACTGTTCTCACTCAGGAGCATTTCCAACCGAGTTCCAAGGGGAGTTTGCCAGCTGATGAGGCAAGGCTGATCCAGCTAAAAGGCTAAGGACTTCTCCAAACAAAGATGGAAACGTGGATTCTATTCGGGGTGATTTTTATTTCAGATTGAGAAGCTACATGAAGAGAAAACACATACACATTGCCATGAGAGAAGGGAAAAAAGAGAGAGAGAGAGCATCCTGTTGTGTCACCCTCCTGATACAACAAACCATCTCAACCTGAGCCACAAGACTGGTTTCTCCCCGGGCAGGCAGGGAGAGTTTTTAACGCCGCGGGGTAAAAACACAGTAAACATCTGTAATATCTACCCCAGGGTCACACACCCCCAGACACAGCAATATGGTCTTTTTTTTTTTGCGTACGCAAATGTACATCTGTTCTTGGTAGATAATAAAAAGGCTGACACAGAGTGGCATGAATCAAACCCCTAGCTTTGAAAGAGGAACAGTTACAGATGTTCATGAGGATCAACACACCCACATGGCACAGGTACTTACTCAACGGAGTGGTTACTCTAAGCACTAGCTTTATGTGAAGGCAGGTACCTTCATACCAGTGATACTGGATTGTACCGGAGCAGGCGGCAGTGAATTTCAGGGTTCGTCTGTCTGTCATTTTATTAAAGTAATTAATCAAATGGCTTAGCATATAAAAATACGAGAACCCTTCCTCCTAATTAGAGCAATTTGTGTTCACGTAGAAATAAAAGCACGCACACGCATACACACATCTGAGGCAGGATTGCTGACCGAGAGCTTACGGGATAAAGAAACTCACTTTCTCCGTCCCACACTTGGACATCACGTTCTCCCTCACCATTCCAGGGATAACGGAGTCTCTTCCCTTTGGTGCATAGTTATATTCGAAAGCCAAACAGCAACTTGGAAGTTGTCCTGAAGGGAACCAGGACAAGGCACCTTTAAGGATAATAAGGCAGATCGCGTACCTCTGCTGCGGAGACTCCTTTGTGTCTCAGGGGTAGTCCTGCTGTCCCTGAACCTAGAGGGATTAACCAAAAACTAATCAAAATCTTCACCCTCACAAAGCCGCCAGTGAGTCAGTCTCAGTTTGCCATAAACAAGAAGCAATTCAGAACAAGAGGCTTCTCTCCCCTTAGCAGAGGTACAGCTCAGCTTTTTGTAGTGCTACATGCTGTAGGGCTCCACTCTGTACAGCACGTGCTTTGGGGATGAGCTTACCAAAGTGCAGCCAGGACAGAGAAAGTCTAAATAAGACTATACTCTTAAAAGACTGCATTATCCAGGGATGGCAAACACATTATCTCCACACTGGTCCTCAGGGAAGTAAGGCCAACAGAGCATCTATTGTGGGGCAGAGCAGGGAGGCAGCCAGGGCTGGGCTAGCTCGGTCACAATTATTTGACTAATTCAGTGTAAAATGTCATTAAGCTATTGCCTTAATGAAGTATGGTTTTCTTCAGCCCAGTCCCTCCTCCCAAGTTGAAGCTATGCCTTTGTCCCCTCATCACAGGATGTGAGACAGTCTGTATCCTTGCATGCAACTAGAATATCTTTAAGTTTAATCTATGTACTATAGGAGCGTGGTCCCACGGGGGTCTGGGCAGACTCCAAGGACCAGAGCACGCTCTACAAGAGGGATAAAGAGAAGGAAAACCTATCCAAAAATGAGGAAGCTTTGCTTCTGCATCAATACTGACCACTGAAAACACGTTTTTCTTGTGGGAGGCACCATGTCATAAGAAGAGTATGAGCATGTAAAATGCCTCTAGTTATAGCCAACGAGTTTTAAAAATGTTCCTTTACTGCTGCTTTACTGAACATGATCATCTTAAGAGGACCAGACCAAACACCTGTGCTGTTAAGGATGTATTATCTCCATCACAAGTCCAAAGGCCACCGAGAGCTCAGGAAATTACATCATTGCACAGCAGCAAAGGCCCTGGCCCGTCCCCTTTGCACCATTCCTTCTGGTTCTTAAAAAAGCTGCAATCCAAACCAGCTAATATTTGGAGCGCTTTTTATGGTTAAGCACAGTTCTTTCTTGCGGGAATGTAATCCAGGGGGATTCAGGCATGTGTAAACAGTTTCCTTCAGAGAAGATTTCCCTTGCTAATTTCTTTCTGCAACATGTAACATGCAATTAACTTAAGTTACACTGATGCAGTTTAGCTTCCCTTACTAAATAGGTGCTTGCAAAAGAAGCGTATTACAGCCCTGTTACAAGGAGCAAGCAAAAGCTCTCCTAAGGAATATCCACTACTGAATTTCTTGGTCCCTGTGGCTTAAAACCACACTGTTAACTTTGCATCACAACAGGGTTGGCTCAAAATTCATTTCCTCCTGCTGGTTCCCATCGGTAGGCCCGCTTGCCTTGCAAACAGCATCCCTGGCCTTGGGAAAGACAAGTGTAAATGTTTCTTGGGTGGGACTTCAAGGAAGAGCAGTCAGGCTGCTGAAACGTCCACAGTCCTCACCTCCTGCTGGCACTGAGATCAGTGGTTAAATCCAAATGAGATTTCATAGCTGCTGAGGATGACGTACCTGCTGACACTAAGATGGAATTAGATAAGTAAACATACCACGAACTTTTCAATGACAGAGATTTTCTTTTTCCTTTTCTATCAAAAAAGCCATCCTAGAGGGAAGATAACTCTCCTACTTCTCCTACACTTCTCCCCTTCCATTCCTCCAAAAAGACGAGCGATCATTCTGTAGTAACGTGATATTAATACTCTGGTATCAATACTCAAATATATTTATAAAGCCCTAGATGTTAAGTATTTGGGGTAGGTGATAGTTGTTAGCTAGCAATGAATCTCAGGAATCTTCATGTGACTCAAGAAACGTGTTCTTTCACCTTTTTCTGCATGCATTCACTTCTGCAGCTGTGGAATGCTGCCTGCTGGTCACAAATGCCTGTATAGACCCCATGCAGAGAAATAATATCGTGCTTAAAATTCACTTCCCAAGCCAGTGCTCAGATGTGAAGACAGACGGCTACGGGAGCCAAATAAGGCTCTTGATCACTTCTTGTCAGACTCAAAATACTCAGTGGCAACCATCTCAACGTGTTGCCCAATGTCTGGAAAAAGCTTCAGAGCGTTGGTCGTACCCTTTTCCCTCCTCTCTGACACTGAACGTGGCTTTCATCAGTCTGTTTGCACAGATAATAACGTCTTTGTCTTTGGAGAACGATGGCCACCACGCCGTTTATCTGAGGAGTACTTGTCCCAGCTATCCCGCGCGGAGGAATGTGGGTCAAGCCCTGCTCCAGAGCTGTACCACTGCTTCTCCCTGGCCATGGCTAGCAGCCAGGAGCAGCTTATCGGAGCTCCGGGCTGGCACGCTGCGTTGTTGCCCGGTGACGACGCGCTTCGGGAACCATCAGCACTCAGCGTCTGCCTCTCCCTGCAAATCCTGGCCAGTCAGCAGGCAGGGATTTGCAACCTCTCCACTACACGCTGGACAAACGCCTGTGGTCTTTTTGATGCTACCACTATCAAAATGTCAAGGAAAAAATGCTTCCTTCAGGGTCTTAGCGTCTTTATGCCCATCCTCTATGATGCTCCCCTGCTCCCCTCCAGCTCTTCCTTCTTTTTCTCCACTTTTTTTTGCCCATGCTGCCAAGACAACTTGTTTTTTTAGTTGAAAAGCTCTTTCTTCCACTGAAACTAGACAGAAAAAAACAAAGCTGCGGAGGCTTCTAATTTAGATGCTGAAGCCACGGTGAGGTCTGTTATTTTACCTGAACCTAAGCACTCATGGGCATCCCAGGTGGAGATGGAAGGAGGCAGATCTACCAGGGCACTCTGCCCGCCTTGAATAAAGCACATCCGCTTTTTAGAATGCCACTCACACCAAAACTACCTTCCCCACCTCCCCAGTTAGCCCAGCAAGCCCATGCACTGGATCTCCTGCCTGTCACATGGTCCTTCAGCGTCTTAGCCTGTCCTCCTGTCTGTCTCCTGCCTGTCATTCAGGCCCTAGCACAAGGCAACTCTTGACTTCATGAACGCATATTTTAATTATTTGATTCCTTTTGTATTTTTGAAAAGCTCACCATTATT